TTCTTGCGTACAACAGTTACTCTTATCAAACAGAGATTATCATGCCATTAAAGTTTCAAGGGCGTGAAATTTAATTCAATTGTAAGATGTATTTGGAGGTGAATTAAAACTACTTTTCTTTTTCTATCTACATTGCTTCAAAGCGCATGTACCTACATATTTTCCATGTTTTTACAATCTTCAGTTCTAACAAATATTAAAACTAATAAAGCTACAGAGAAGTACAGGTACAGTTAGTGTAAACTAGATTTGCTAGCACCAGTGAGAATTTGGTCCCAAATATCACACACAAAGACCTGATTAGTTTGGAAAAGTCCAAGTTAATCGTCCAACGTAGTATATTTTGAATTTTATGACACTCAGCCATGTGCAACTCCGATACTAAATAGCTCAAAATGCCAGTAGTACAAAGGCCAATTGACCAACTGTTTAAACTAAAATTTTACCCTCAGCATACTGTAAGGTTGGGGGTAATGGTAAGCCTGAGATTATCGTATATACTCTCAAGAGAAACTTATCCAATATTTTTAATACCCATGATCTCTGATAAATTGCCAAGTTAAAAGATGTTAATGCCTGCCATCTTTTTAATCACCTAAGATTAATCCTAGGACCTCCTAGCCTACTGCATATGTTCCAACAGCTTGTCTTGACTTATTAAGCTTCTCATAAGAAGCAGCTGCAGTGGATGCATATTCTCTGTAGACCAGGTTTCAGGCAGAAAGATCTCATTTACCTCCTCCTGCCAGTGTGAGGGACCTGGTTTTCATGTTCTGCAAAAGGAGAAGGAGTGTATCCAGCTTGATTCCAGCAACACCTGGTGGCTTTTTACTTCTCAGCCAATATACTGCCGTAGCAATCAGAGCTGGCTCCATGTTTTGGAGGTTCCTCCAGTTGTGTCCTCCCTCTTCCTCTCCCAGTTACCCCTGCCTACTTATTTCTCCTCCCTCCCTGGGCCCAAACCACATGGAGGGACTGTAGACAGTGCTGCAGGTAGACAACGATGCAGTATCTCACTCTAGTTATTGACTGCATGCCCAGAGACTGCAGGTGAGCAGAGGCAGCTACAGCAAAGAGGATGAAGGGCAAGATCAAATCTCTCTGGAGAATGAGTATAGGTCCCCTACAGGGGTGTAGGTCTAGTGATGCCTATTCTCTAATAGCCCTTGCAATGTGCAACTTCTCAGCATTATTTGCTAAGACAGTGACACCCACAATATTCCCCAGCTGCTACGGTAGTTCCTGTAGAATCTATTAAATGTTCAGAATCTAATTGGCTGCAGCATACATTTCCTCCCATAATTTTATTTTGCGATGCAAAGCCAGCTCCTTTTTCAAGGAATCTAGGGGGTAATTTAGGAGTGGAATCTGTTTTAGAAGCGCAGCTAGAGCAGCATGTAGTCTAATGGGTCACTTGCCATTGCCTGTGGCACCTCTATTGCTCCAAAGGATCGGGGGGGGGGGCTAATTCAACCATGCACATTGAGAGGCACCCTTAAGTTCCCGTTTCAATCTCTGGTATCTTTCGTTTGAAGGATCTAGTAACAGGTTGATGGGAAAGCCTTTTCTGTGCCTGAGATACTGGAGAGTCACTGGCAGGCAAAATTGACAATACTGAACTTGCTGGACAAACAAAGAATCTGATGTGGAATAAAGGAAACCACAAATGCCACAATGTTTGTGACTACGATGAAAAATCAGTACAGGAACCACAGCATTAAGGAATAGTCCAAATGAAACACTTTTCTGCATGGAATCTGTATTTGTTTCGGTATTTCAGTAAGGTGTGTTGATTCTATGAGCCACAGAGTTCAACAGTCCCCATCAGCCTCCCTCTATCACACTAACAAGTATCAACACATGAAATGTTGAATTTTATTGCAAGGCCACTGAGTAGCATTAAGTTTTCTTTTGCCACTCATATAGAAGAATCTTTTATTGAGCTTTACCTGGTCCAGAAAACATAGGTCTGTTTGTTTTCTGGCATTGCTTAGAAGAAATACATTGCAACTACATCTTGACTTTCAGGTCAATACACCAATGACTTTCAGCATTTTTTCAGGTTCAGGGTGCCCATTCTGACCTTAAAGCCGTAAGTGCTCTGCACTTGACATCTTCCTCTTTCCCCTGATTGAACACATACTGTCAGGTTCTACCAAGTTAGGAGGCTAAACTGACATCAGATAATAAGAATGCCTTCTTAGTGATGGCTTCTATTTTTTAGAACTCATTTTCTCTATGCCAGCTGGTTAATGCGCGCGCACACACAAACACACAGTGTGAGAGTGTTTATTCCTTTATATATTTAAATCTGACTTTTCTTTATTTATACACCTCTCAAAGCTTCTTATATAAAAACAGAAAAAATAATAAATACAGCAATTAAACAAACAAATGCTTTGTAGCATCTGATATGTTCTGCATCATTTCCCCTTTACTTTAACATGATATTCATTAAATACATTGTCATCCTCTCTTGTTTTGCTATATCCTGCTTAGGGAGGCTTAGGGATGAAAAGCAACTTTTCAATAACAAGCAATGATTCCCCCCCCCCCAGATTTTATAAACAAATTCTCACATTTCTATCCCACCTTTCATCCTTCATGGATCCTAAGGCTGCCTTTCTCAACCTGTGGGTCCCCAGATGTTGTTGAACTACAACCCCCATCATCCCAAGCTAGCAGGGCCAGTGGTCAGGGATGATGGGAGTTGTAGTCCAACAACATCTGGGAACCCATGGTTGAAAAAAGCTTTCCTAAGGTATCAAAACCTACTTAGTTATAATTTTTGTTTCACTTTATAAGTCACTCTGGGTCACATTAATTTTTTTTGGGGGGGGGGGGCACAATCAATCAGTCCAGTGCATACATATGGTTCCCAGGCAGTTAGCATCCAGGCACTGACCAGACTCAAACCTGCTTAGCATTAGTAAAGTGGTGAGCTCATGCGCCTTCAGGCCTTAGCCATGTGGCTTTTGCCTAATATGAAACTCTGGCACCGTGCTCTCATGCCTGTGACAAACAACAGATTCTCTACCCAATGAGCAGATACCAATGCCAAGGAAGCCGAAGCTCACTGTAACAACAGAGTATAATTCTGCAGTGACAAACATCGCCAGCCACTTTGTAATATATGCCTCAGACAAGACTGATGTTGTATCGCTGCTCCACCAATGCACAAAAGCTGGATGCTCTCCGTATTCCATTTTGTCATTTAATTTTATATACTAATTACACCATATATCATTCCTTAATGTATCCACATTTGAAAACAGAACACAGATAACCAGTATTTATTGTAGAGGGAAGTCTCTTTTCATCCTTGCAAAGAACTTTTTCTGTGTGTGCGCATAATATGAATGAAGTCCGAATTAATTTGCATAGAAAATTGTTTACACACGTGCACCCCCCCCATATTAAAACTATAGAAAGATCCTGTATATGTATATTTTGTAGACAGAGGATGAAACCAAATAGCCAGTTAAGTTTATGTATGGTCACAAATTAGAGGTAACACTCAAATACTGGATCCTCTGTGAAAGCCACATGTCTGGTGGTAATATATTTTGCTGTTTACTCCCCCTGTAGCTGCAGACCCTCACACCACATCACACACTAGCCTAAGGAGTCCACCAGCTACTCAGAGAGCACAAATGGGAATAAATTAATTGGTCCATGCCTGATGAGCTTGCCTGTTAAGAGAAACTCGCTGATCTCCACAATGTGGTAACCAACCATGGTGGTAGGTGTTGGTGTATTGCCAAAAGTGTATTGGTGGTCGGTGTATTGCCAAACTTGTAACAAGCCTTGAAGCATGACCTTGATCAGTTGGGGCATGTGGCAGGGCGAGACCATCTCTCTCTCTCTCTCTCTCTCTCTCTCTCTCTCTCTCTCTGTGTGTGTGTGTGTGTGTGTGTGTGAATGATGGTCAGAGTGGCTGAAATAATATGTGAAAGTTTGAAAGCCTGTCTCTCTGGCTGGATGGCTGAAGAGAGCAGAAATCTGTATATAGTTCTGTTTCTTATTCTATATGTAGACCAGTAGTGTAATGCAGCTTGTAAATAATGAAGACTTTAAGAGTGAATGGGTGAGGTGTTTATTCCTGTCAAGGGAATTCACCAAAAGAGGGCTGGACTGCTGCTGCTGCTGCTGCTGCTGCTACAAAGACGAAGGAAAACTTTCTGAGGAACTCTGCTGAGACAAAAAGAAAAGGAACCCCAAAAGTTGGCACAGTAGGAGCTTGCCTACCATTGCCCTTAGGCACTGAGAGTTGGCCGTAAGCCCTGGAAGCTCATGCAACACCATGCAAGCTCATGGCTGCTTAGTGGGGAATTGCCCTGATGTGAAAAGCAGCCAGTGCCCAGGACCCTCCACATTTGTCCAGTGTGGTAACCCTAACCGAAGTCAATTTATATTCGTTTTAAAATGTACTGCTTATGATACAACAGATCCAGATTTAGCGCTGACCTATTGAAATCAATGGAATCATGACTAATTCCAGTGCCATTGATATCACTGAGTATGCTCTAAGCATGACAAAGTCTAAACCCAAGCCCAAAGAAAGATAATAATGTGTGGAAACAGGGACAATAAAAGCATGTCACCAGGAAGCACCACTGATATTTCACCACTAGATCTGCATGCACAACCACATCAGAACTGTTGCCATACAGGAGCCACACAGAGTTGCAGCTTTCTTCTCACCACTGATTAATGCATCTTGATACAGCAAGACAACTGTCAACACAATCTTCTAAAACAGAACAACCACTATTTATGTGGCCAGGTAGTAAGTAGCCCTTTCAAAGGCTGGCAAGTCCCCAGATATTTAGGGTCATAAAACCTGCATGAATCAGAAGTGAATGATTTAAGCGGGCTCCAAGCTATCTGCTTTGTAAGAGGCACCACCAACTTTATTTATTTATTTACTTGGTCCCAGCAAGTGACCTTGTCAGTTACGAGCAAGTTCCAAAAGAAAACAAGCATTGCCTCTCGCTTACCAGCTCTTCGCGCAGTTGGGAAATGAGTTCATCTCTCTCCTTCAGCTGAAGCTTCAGCGCCGAACATTCATCTTTCATTATATCCTATAAAAACATCAAAAGAGATGTTATAATAGACTTTGTGCTTTTCCTTTGCTCCTGACAAGAAAAGGCAGCTTCACACAGTGCAAGATAATTACATCCAAGTAATGAAAGTCAATGCCCCTCTATCATGTGCAATATTTTTAATAACATAGTCTAAGTTTGCAGGGTAAACAACCTAATGCATCCAAAGATATTATATGCACAGAAATGTGAACAGCTCCCTGTGTGTTAAGCCCGTTTTGTTAGTGTCTGATTCTTTTAAGCCCTTTATTGAAGCTCCTGTCAGGCGTCTCTTTATTTTAGTGAAGGAACAGATGGCCATAAAATTTCATAGTTCTGTTCACACAAAACAACACTACAGAAGTTTCACTTCGGATGCATTATTGGAATTCCTTTATTAAAAAAAAAAAATCAGACTGCAGATGGAAAAAGCAGGAAGATGCACATGTAGGCATTCAACAAACAGGAAGGAAGCAACCCTTCCATGAAAGGAAATAAACCAGCATGACAGGCAACAATATTGCTAGCAAGTCAAATGTTGTGGCCAGTGGCTGATTTAGTTTTCTTCTAAATGAGATTCAAACAACACAGGTCATGGGCCAGGTTGGGCAAAAGGCATGAAATTAAACTGAAAGAAGGTGTCCATGAAAGTGCAAAGGCTAGAAATGAAAGCAAGGTTCTCAACTATCAGGGCATATCTGCACTACAGACCTAAACTGGCCCGACAATCATTTCCTCTTCCCAGGAAACATCGGGAAACTGCTGTTCTATTGATTTATTTCATTGGACATATAGCCCCAACGTTATCCCATCTCAAAACCAGTATGCTATATATTCTGTTGTCTCCCTCTCTTCTATAGGGGTATGGTATGGGACTGGATATTGCTAAGAATACACCACACCACCAACAAATTGCACTTGTTTTATATTTTGACACATGCCCTATTTTGTGTTAATTTTGTTGTTTTCTGGTGCTTAGCGGCTTTGGCCTTCCCTTGGAAATGAAAAGTGAGTTATAAATCATAGCTGCTTTAAATGAGTCAGGTCACTGACCAATTAGATCAGTGTTTCACAAACTTGGGTATCCAGCTGTTTTTTGGACTACAATTCCCATAATCCCTGACCACTGAGCCTGCTAGCTAGGGATGATGGGAGTTGTAGTCCAAAAACGGCTGGATACCCAAGTTTGGGAAACACTGATCTAGATCAATATTGTCTACTCTGACAGCAGAACTCCATAATTTCTGGGAAGGGACCCTTCCAGCCCTACCTGGAGATACTGATGGGTCCTTCTGCATATAAAACACATGTTCTACTGAGCAATGGCCCTTCCTCAATAAATGTAATGAAATGAAATACATTTTCCATAATTATTAGGGGGTGGGAAAAGTCATCACAGTTAAACTGGTATCAAAGCTATATAAGTCTGTAGTGAAGCTATGCCATCAGAATACTACAATGGTTTACTACTAACAAGTGCATTGTTTTATTTATTTCCGTATATCTATATTCCACCTTTCTACCATAATGCAGTGTTCCCCAACCTTGGGCCTCCAGCTGTTTTTGGACTACAACTCCCATCATCCCTCGCTAGCAAGACCAGTGGTCAAGGATGATGGGAATTGTAGTCCAAAAACAGCTGGAGGCCCAAGGTTGGGGAACACTGCCATAATGGAACCAAAGGTGACATGCTCGTGGCTCCCAACTGACCAGACCAAGGCAAGTTTAGCTTCAGCAAAGTGAGGTCTTGTGTGCCTTCAGATCGCATCATGGGACTGTGTACTGATATCAACTATTCAACCTAGAAAATCAGAGGAATAATGTTTTTCCAAGAGAGATCTATTAAGAGCAGCAATAGTATGTGGTACGGTGAACCTAATGCAAGTGGCATCACATGTTTAAGTGACCTTTCTCATAAAAAAACATCCTTCTGATGGAAACCTTTGAAATTCAGATTGCATTCTCTCTCTCTCTCTCTCTCTCTCTCTCTCTCTCTCTCTCCTTCCATGGGTCTACTCTATGACAGCTGGATATAAGCCAAGAAAAACATTGTCAAGGAATGCAATTACTTTAAGAAGCACTTATTTCACCAATGAAATGCCATCAACAGGAAAGCAATAGAGCAAGGGCATAATGAGATGAGCGTCGACAGTGAGCAAAATGATACTACGCACAGTCTACAAAGCAGCAACATCAGTGTTAAAAGGCAACAGTGACGCATGAGAGCTAGTCGTGTACTTTGAATGGCCTAAAAGTAGCAAATGCCAGGAAACCTGAGGTGAAGAACAGGTCATCATTTCAAGGCTTGCTGGTTCTGGACCATTACTGTCAAATACATCACAATATGTTACAGAAGCTTTTAAGGTGAAGGGGAAAAGAAAGACACAAGCAAATAGATTCATATTAAGGGCAGGGGGCGGGGGAGAGACTTGCTGGCCACCAGCAATTCTACTCAGTGCCGGATTTACGTATAAGCTAAACAAGCTATAGCTTAGGGCCCCACTCACAAGAAAATTTAAAGGGGGGGGAACCTGGATGTATATTTCCAAAATATAAGATACAAAACAAATAAAATAAAACCTACATACAGCAACAGTGTTTTGTGTTGTGTAGGCTCCTATTTGCTATGTGCAAATGGCTTTAGATACCTATTAGGTCCATAAATTACCATATAGCATACATCCAACACAAAAAAACAGTGACAATTTGTTGCTGACAAAGGACAGCTGGACATATAAAGGGCCCCATTACCTTCAGGAGCTTAGGGCCAACAACCAGCTCAAATACATTTCCTGCAACAAACCAACTGGAAGGGACTGGCAGGGCTCCAAGGAGTGGGTGAAACAGGTAGGTGGGCCCAATGCTGATTCAGAAGAAGGGGGCAGCGATTTATGGGATTTTGTGCCTGCCACAAGGCAGGAGACAGAGTTGGAGGATGGGGAGGGATCTGAGCAGTCGGAGATGGGGGAGAAGGTGCAAGGCAGGAGATGGAGATGGACGAAGGACAGGATGCACCAGGAACTGAGGGAGAGGTGATGCCTGAAGGGAGGGGGCTGGCGGAATCCCCTCCATCTGCACCCCCTAAGGACCAGGAGGGGTTGAATAGGCAGGCACAGTAACAATTTGTGTACCTTTTTAAAATTCACACATTTATTTTAGCACCTAGCTTTCTAGTAGTGCTCTATTGCATCAGTCTAATTCTGCCGAGCTAGAAGTGTGCTGGAATGTATCACATCTAATTGTGAGTGGTGATGGTTGTTTCACATCACATTGAAATGGGGTTGGTGACGGCACACTCTATATATGCATCACCAAGAGGTATCATTTTAATTTCCTAAGCTCTTTTTTTAAAAAAAACTTCTGTATACTTGGGGACAAGCAAACATATTGTGCTTACACCATAATCAACAAAGTAGCATAAGCAGACTTAACCTGGTGCTACAGGAAACAAATTTACTACAATTCTGTTGCCAAAGTAGAACAGTAAATTTAGAACAATATTCCTTAAAATATAGAATGTTAAGCAGACTGTTTACTGGCTTAGTGCAATCCCTGCTGTTGAGAACAGATTTTACTAAACAAGTGTTATTAGAAGAAGAAAAAAGAAATAGCACAGATTCACTGGATGGAAAAGAATCCCGCTGAAACCTTTCCCACTGAAAACTAGAAGCCCGGAATGCCAAATGTAACCTTTTTATTTTTCATTTTTGCACTGAATTCACACCGCTGCTACCTCTTACTGTGCATTATGAAAACTTGGCATTGCGAAAGAAATGCATGCTTCAACACATATGTTAATACCCGGCTACCAAGAAAATTACAATACTTAGCCAATTCCATTTAAAAAAAAAATATAGGCTTCTAATTCATTTGATGGCAGGCTGAGGAAAGGAAAGATGCTGTTCTTTTCATGAGTTCAAGATTCACCTGCATCTCCCTGAAATGTAGAGCCGGGAATTCTGTGTATTTTCAACAAGTATTTCAATGTGGATTTCCCCTCAAAATACATTCTTATGTGCCTTCTTCCAAAAAGAAAACTGCGAAGAACTGCATCACAACATTCAGAGAAGAATGAAATCTGGTGGATAACTATGTTCCAATCATTACGTTACTGATCAGGTCACTTTGTCTGAGAATTGGAAAATATCAAATTCTGAAAGTATGATTGCTGCAAGATGCTCACCAACTTCAATAACTGAGGAAAAAAGCTGTTATTTAAATCTATCCCCAAATCTATCATTGAGAGAAAGTAACAGGCTTCATGAATCTCATTAGACCAGGATGTTCCTTTTAGATGCTAGAAGAAATGCCCATCTTACACCCTGTTTAACATCATTCTATTTATTTATTTGGGACGCGGTGGTGCTGTGGGTTAAACCACAGAGCCTAGGACTTGCCGATCAGAAGGTCGGCAGTTCAAATCCCCGTGACTGGGTGAGCTCCCGTTGCTTGGTCCCTGCTTCTGCCAACCTAGCAGTTCGAAAGCATGTCAAAGTGCAAGTAGATAAATAGGTACCGCTCTGGCGAGAAGTTAAACGGCGTTTCCATGCGCTGCTCTGGTTCGCCAGAAGCGGCTTAGTCATGCTGGCCACAGGACCCGGAAGCTGTACGCCGGCTCCCTCGGCCAATAAAGCGAGATGAGTGCCGCAACCCCAGAGTCGGTCACGACTGGACCTAATGGTCAGGGGTCCCTTTACTTTATTTATTTATTTATTTATTTAACAGCAAACCCAGTTGCTCAGTTACAACAGCGATGTAGCTAAAACAGGGCTACTGAGAAACAAGAGAGAAGGCTCAGTTAGCTCAGGGGTGCTACAAAGTTTGCAAAGTACAAAAACCCCAACTCTAATGGGGCAAATATGTGTGTTTATACAGATAACACTCCCTGGAAAAGACCCTGATGTTGGGAAAGATTGAGGGCACAAGGAGAAGGGGACGACAGAGGACGAGATGGTTGGACAGTATTCTCAAAGCTACCAACATGAGTTAGACCAAACTGC